GTCTCGGGATCCAAAACCCCTCGGATTCGTAGATTGTTGCCTTAATCATTGGATAATTAATCTAGTAACTAGGTTAATTAATAAATGGAGTCACTTAGGGTTTTTCCTGTTTACCTAAAAATAATTAAACATGGGACTCACACACTCACGTGCATTTCTTCTCATTGTGCATTTCTTCTCATTCATCATATGCATCACATGCCTATGTATTCGGGGGGAGGGGTTCATAGTATGGAGCATAAAATGCAACCACTTTATGAGAAAGAAATAGGTTACCTAAAAATGCCTTGAGATAAGAAACAATACATGTGTGCTAGAATTTGTCCTAAATACTTCCTATTGTGCATTTTAAGGAAGGATGACTGCCTATCTCATATTTTAAATGACTAGATTATGTATACTTAAGATTAATTTTTTTGCTATATTGAAAATTTTAGATGTCATACTTATTTATACTACTTGGTTCATAAAAACACATCAAATCTCTTATCTTTGGTAGATTACTTAAGAATTCTAAATCAACGAGTAAAAATGAACATGATCAACATGAGTTCAAAAGAAAGATGAATGTTTTGCTTGGGGACAAGCAAAGAGCTAAGTGTGGGGGAATTGATAGCCTCGCAAAGCGGGCAAATTTTGTTATGTTATTTTCATATAAATATTGCATGTTGTTTTTATAGCATTTTACGTTCCCTTGTCTGTTTTTGTTTAAAGTGATTGTAGGAATACCCAATTTGAGCCAAGAGGGATGAAAAGGCTGCTGTTTATAGAAAAAGAGGACCAAAAAGTTGATTAAGCTATGGAAGAGTCGGCCTCAGCAAACCTTCAACGACCGCGAATGCCAGTCACGTTGAAAGAAGAAAGGGATTACAGTCGGAGCACTACCTGAAGTCAGCGCACGCAAACCTACACTAGCCAGAAAGACTCAGCAGGCACCAAAACGCAAGTCCGCATAGAGCGCGACATGTCATCTGCTGCGAGCGCGAGAAGCACTCCAGCAAGTCAGAGAGTTTACAGAACCAAGTCAGAGAGTTTACAAACAAAGATCGTGAGTGTGACATTCATCTGCGCGAGCGCGAGCGAAAGAAGCACTCCAGAGAGGCAGAGACTTTTAAAGCATAAGTCGCGAGCGCGACCTTGAACCTCGCAAGCGCGAGTCTTGTTTCCAGGAGACGTAATTGCTATCCTTTCATCAGAAAAACATGTCTTCCCATGCATGGGTCGGGACTCTTCCTAAGAGAAGTCACCTAAAGCACCTTTTGGCCAACCAATCACCATCATATCCAACATCATTCTCCTCTTCTATAAATAGCAATCCAAGTGAAGGAAGAAATCATCCAAATCCAGATTCAGATTCAGAAAGATATTCAGAATTAGATTGTATTTCAGATATTAAGTGTAAAAATAGAGAAGTGTGATAGTAGTACTTAGAAGTAAGTTGACGAGAGTCACTTATTATTGTTTGTGCTAAGAACATCAAGAAGTTCCTCGAGGTGTGACGCCCTCCGGAGGCTTGAGTTTGATTACTTCTTTCTCTTGTTTTTATAGACTTATTGTATGTTGTTCTTCATAACTCTTCTATACAACGCAACAATTTTAATTGGTTTCATTCAATAAAAGTTCTTTAAGTTATCTTTTGATCTTTTATTTAATCAAGTTTACTAAATTATATTCTCATAAAGAAATAGTTTAGTAAAGATCAAAGAGATTTAGTTCACTCAGTTTAATTTATATATGCATGTTTCACTTGTTTTTGTCAAAGTTAAATCTGTCTTATTGAAATAAGATAAGTACTAGGGTTTAATAGTGTTAACAAGATAAGTTATATTATTAGAAGTAGAAATACATATAATAGAGTAGAATAATCCTATACACGAAAGGTTTGAATTAGTATCTTATCATATGTCATAAATATGTGATTAAAGAATTATTTATTGTATGTTACATGCTTTGATATAGAAGAAGAAAATCCTGTGCATGATCAATTTTTCTAAGTATCCTACGACACACTTATCTATAGAATTAAATAATAATTAGGTTTAACATAACTAGAAATATAGTTAAATCATTTCACATTCTAATTTCTGTAAATATAAAATTAAGAATAAAGTAGTAAAGTGGACTTAACCCGTAAAGTGGACTTAACTCGTTCCTTGTGGGATCGATCTTTTTATTACTACGTTGCAATTCGTATACTTGCGGGAACTCAAAAGAGAAGCAACAGTATATACACACATATTTTAGCTTAATTTATATCGTTAGTTATCTAAAATTCATTATAATTAAATATCACCTAATAAATATGTTCAATATATGTAGATATATAGGTATAAGAATAAAATATTACATATATTTTTTTAAATTTAAAATTTTTAACTGTTTGTCATCGTACACACAAATGTTAATTTTATTTTAAAATAAATTTTAAAAGTAAAAACTTAAAAATTTTGATAGAATTAATTATGTATATTCTATTTGAAAATGTGTTATATAAAATTTCTTTTTTTAAAATAAAATATTTTAAATTATAGTAATAATAGAATCAAATATTTAAAAAAATTTATAAAATAAAATATAAAAATTTTCAAACGTCTTATTATCATATATATTTATTAAAAAAATAATATGTTTATATTGCTTTTCTTTTAAAAAAAATATCATGTGTTATATTAAATATACAACTACATTACATCTTTGAGAAAATAAATTTATTTTGATATTAAAATTTCTTAAATTATGTTTTCATGGATTTTCCTTATATATTTGAAATATTTATATTTTTATATAATAATTTAATTTACACAAATGTTAAAGGAAAAAGTTAAGGACATACTCCAAAATTGCAATTAAATAAATAACTACATATATTATAGAAATTAAAGTTTAAACAATTACTTCTGATACTATTGAAGACAAATATGATTGTTGATTGATTTAGTAATTAATTCATTATGAATTTAAGAAATGATCGAATGTAACTGAGACTTAATCAAATGTAGACTTTTTAAATCAATTAATAAAAAATTATTAAAAAATTCAATTGATTAATAATTTAATATCATAATTTATCAATTATTAAAAACTCATATTATATTGATTAATAATTTAATATCATAATTTATCAATTATTAAAAACTCATATTATTTAATAAGCTCAAATTATTATCAATTATTCAAAAGGATATTTTAGAATTTTTAAAATTTCACTAAAATTATTATTGGTAATCACATTATTCTCTCCTCATTTCCACTTTTATATATAGTATACATATAGAGTGATATTTAACTGCAAAAATGTTAGTTTTGAAAGGAATGGTTAAATTGTTTAAAAAAGCTACATCTCAAGGATAAAAATCAATGTATTTATAGAAAAAAGAAGGAAAAAATAATTAGGGGTCAAAAACTTAGGGACTAAATAGTATTTTTCCATTAATAAAATTTATATCATTAACTTTTAAAAAATTCAATAAAGTTATACTTCGCTCCTCCTCTGGCTGACTTGCTCGAGTTCTGAGTCAAAACTTTGCAAATGCAATTGACGATCATTCCTGATTGGGATTTAGGAAATTAATTTTTCTTCTCTTACATGATGTGATTTGCCCTGTTTGCCTAAAGGGTCATCCTTTAGTCGCTGAGCTTTGTGATCCAGAAGAGTAAAGATTCGATCTTTGTCCTCGATCTTCATGGGGTCGTGTTTTAGTGCAGGAAACACTACAGAGGGTGATTCTTATCAGGTAAGTTTCCAATTATTCATTTCTAATCAATATTCCTGCCTTATAAACTGCCAAACACAATCAGTTCTTTGTGATTTATTCTTTACTGGGATTAGCAATTAATGCTCTGTTTGGTTGCTGAGAAAAGCCAGGGTAGAAAAATAGAAGCGATAAATTTTTTTTTTTTTTTTTCAATTTTTAGGACCTGAAAATTTAGGTTGTTCTAATATCAAATTATGCATTGGCTGATAGTCACACCATTAGATGATTACTTAGTTGCTAAAAAGGAAAAACTTTGGTCCGCTATTCACCATCAGAGAATTTTGCATGTAGTTGTGCTCTTTTGGGTTAATATGAGTGTCTAATCAAATCTGGCAATGTGAATACCTGAAATTGGTGGATAGAGGAAATATAGTCATAATGTTGGTTCCAGGTAGATTGAGTCTTTGTCATTAGGTTCCAGTTAGATTTGAGTTGGCATGGGCTTTTGATTTCGGAAACTATCAATATAAATTATAGCAAAAATTCTAAGTTCTACTTAGTTTTTCACCAAATAAATTGATAAATTTGGCTTTGTTTTACGAAAACTCTCCTTCTCTTGGACATAAGTAGTTTTAAGTAATAATGTCAGATGAGTAAATATGTGGAAAGTAAATAGAAACTGGAATAAGTTATCTCATGTTATCTTAATTAAGAGAATGATGGAAATTAGTTACCGTTAATCTCTGACCATTAAAGCTGACGTTAAGTCTACTTCAGATAAATCATGAAGACTGAAAATTCACTTGTTCTCTTGTGATAATATCTTCACTCTGATGGCATTAGAACTTTTCAATTGAAAAAGTCCATCTTTTAGCAACTCTGCATTATCCAATGAATACAAAAATTTATGATCTAACTCCACTCTTCCATAAAATTGACAAAACCGCATGCATGTGTATTAGTGTCATACTCATTCTTGTAGATAGAGATGAAACTTAAATGTGTTGGCAAAATGATATGAGTAAGTCAAGCAGCAAAGTTTCATCTGTCACAGTGCCTTCAACAGCCCAAACAAAAGGTCATATCTTAAACTCACCCAATTTGAAGAGGTTTAACTTTAGTGAACTGAAAGCAGCAACAAGGGACTTCGGACAGGATACTGTTTTAGCAAGTGGTGCAACTTGTACTGTCTTCGAAGGTTGGATTGATTGCTTATCATTAAAGCCATCAGGGCCTGACACTGGAATGCCTGTTGCTGTAAAGAGGCTACTTGGCAACCGAGGTCAACAAGAATGGTAGGTAAGTATTCTTTCTCCATCATTTGAGCTTATCTGCCTATTTCTGTTGACTTTTGTTATGGTTCGTGAACAATAGTCAGAAATCAGATACATGGGGCAGCTATTGCATCCGAATCTAGTGAAACTGATTGGTTACTGCTTGGAGGATGACCATCGACTTCTGGTCTATGAGTTTGTGCCAGGATGACCATCGACTTCTGGTCTATGAGTTTGTGCCCAATGGCAGCTTGGAGAATCGTCTATTTGGAAGTGAGTAATTGATTGGTTGTTCAATCTTCTAACTGAACATGCAAGTTTTCTCCCGACCTCAAATATGTATTTGTGGGAGCAGGGGATTCTCACATTCGACCACTCTCTTGGAATCTCCGTATGAAAGTTGCCCTTGGTGCTGCTAAGTGTCTGGCATTTCTTCATGATAAGGCAGATGTCATACATGGAGATTTTAGAACTTCGAATATCCTGCTTGATTCAGTATGTGAAAATGCTCTATTACTGAATTTGGTTTATGAGGGAGTTATAGAATTGCAATATTATAACTAACACATTTTCTTTACTCATATTGTAAAAATGACAGAACTATAATGCGAAACTATGTGATTTAGGTTTCGCTAAGGATGGGCCAATAGATAAAAGCCATGTCACTACAAGGGTCTTGGGTGGGGGTGATGGCCTAGGGTATGCAGCACCCTGGAATACGCCCAGTCAGGTATCATTGGTTTCTTATTCACTCTGGTATATATAAGAAAGAAAAAAAATGGAACTCTATAAAAAAAATGGAACTCTTATCTTGTTTTTTGTCACTTTGTTGTCTCTTATGAAGGTCATATTAGCAAAAAAAGTGATATATACAGTTTCGGGGTTGTTCTCCTTGAAATGTTATCTGGAAGACGAGCAATAGAATGGAACAGGCAATCTGGACCAATACATCTAGGTATGTGGGCAATATGCATTACTGACAGACGCAAACTTTCCCAAATTTTGAATCCTGCCATTTTAGGTGAGCATTCGGGAAGCAGTGCATTAAAAGTAGCTCAACTTGCATACGAATGCGTATCAGGGGAGCCAAAATTTCGGCCAGACATAAAAGATGTGGTTAAAATTCTGGAAAACCTTCAGGACAATGTGGTATGCAAATCAAGCAATGGTTCTAAATAATGGAAACGTTGTTTTCTGTCTTAAGACCAACTTTTTCTCCTGTTCTGTGAGCGCGTGTGTATATATATGTGATACATAGTAATGTTGTGTATATATATGTGATACATAGTAATGTTGTCTGGAAAACTTTTATTGTTGGCTTTCGTTCTTAAAAAATAAAAATTATTGAAATTCATACCTTCAAATATATTTGGGTTTTGACGCTTTTTCTTGGGATAAGTATTTCTATAGTCTCTGATTTATTAATGACCCAACAGTTTAAGTTATAAAATTTTTCAATAAATTTTCGTGTCAAAATGTTTTGAAATTTACTATAATTTATTTCCTGAGATTATACATTTTAAATCTTTTTTTATTAAAGACCCTAATTATTCATAAAAAAATTTATAATCTTTAATTGTTAAGAATTTTTACATTTATTTTCTGAATCATTGTATTATAAAATAATTCAACTGTTGTATATAAAAGTATTAATTAAATAATCGTTTATTATTGTTTTGAATTAAAATAATGCTTAAATTACCCTCTGAACTTAGGGTAATATACAATTTTTACAAAAATCAATTAAACGTAACTACCACTCTCCTTTGCGGTCAATGATCGAAAATACAAAATTTTTACTAAAAATAAAATAAAAACAATAATTTTTAATATTTTAACTAATACATTGTATTAGTTAAAAGTACCAAATATTTTTTTTTTAGGTTTCTTTAAATGTTTGTTTTTAAAATTAAATAATTTTTGTTAATTAAAAAATATTTAAAAAATATTAATTATTTCATTTAATCGGGCTTTTTAATTATTTGGTGTAAATTTAGGATGGTACTTGTATAAAAAAATTTGATCTTAAACAAATTAGTTTTGTTGGAACCAGCGGCTCATGCGAAAAGCAATATTAAAAATGAAATTAGGGATGGCAATAGGACATATATCAATGAATTTTTGAACTGTCCGTAACCGTATTCTTGTTTAAATTTTACTATCATATCCACTCAACATTTAAAATATCTATTTTAATTATCCATATCTAAACCCAATTTAAAATTTTACTACTCCGAATTCATCCCAAAACCGTTTAAACAGTACCCCTTAAATGGATAGGATATTCCGGCACATTTTTAAACCTATCCAAAACCTGAATTTATTTAAACAATGCATTTTTTCACTAATAATGGGTAGAGTACCCAAGGGTAACCACGGCCAAAAACTATTTATTTATCTCAAGCGGATCAATGGGTAGCGCGATACCCAGAACATCTAAATATTCGTACGCTTACCGTAAATCTTATACGGTAGTAATTTTTACCACCCGTATCTATCTAAACACATTTTATAACCTAATCTGTACCTTCATTAAATAATTGGACTAGGTGAATTACCCGAAAACACCCGTCTCACTTCCATCCCTAGATGGGGAAATTATCTTTTATTACAACATTCAAAAAATAACAAAATCATATAAATAAAAATAAATTCGGTGAATTGCATTACAAAATTTAATTATCTTTTTGAGATTAATGCTACAAAAGAGGCTCGATTGAAATATCTGTACATCATTAAAATGTGTTGTCCTTTTTGGTAACTTGCCAAAGGTGTTTCACCAAGTATAACAAAAAAGCATTGCATTTGTGATGGACTTGCATAAAAAAAAAATACCACAACAACTATTCTGAAAAAAATGATAATAAGATTCTATAACCGTCTCCGTGCTGTCATAATTCTCATTCTCATTTTCATCTCATCTTAATAGATAATTTCATAAAAAAATTGGGATTATTACTTGTATAAAAGGAAAAGTTTTATTTTAATTGTACTATATATGTTGTTTGTGTGCTGTGTGTCGCTATTTTTTATTTTAATATTGTATTTTTTAATATCATCGTTAAACGGAATGAAAGGATGCATTGCTTTATAATTAACATATATCTTCACTCTCCTTTTATAATAAAATTATATGGATTTTGATCAAGTTAATGATATTATCTAGAGTTTAATTAATGTTGTTAAGATTTAATACATAATTAAAGACATGTTATGGCATTCAAGTCAAGTGACCAAAGTTTGAACTACAATTTATTTCAATTTGTACGACTTGGGTTTATATGTATTGCCATTTTGTTGATTTTTTTAGGAATGGACTTTCAGTATTTTGGATGGCTTGGATTTTATTAATTAGCGACCCAATTAATATTTTTTTGGGTTTAATTAACTGATTAATTAATTTTTATCTTATTAGTTAATTAATTAATTAAAGAGAGAGAATTTAGAAAAGTGGTGTTTGTAGAATTGAACAAACAGAAGCACTTCCTCAAAAGCGCACTTCCACAAAGTCAGTTTGCCCCACGTTTCAAGAAGCGTGAGAGATCCAAAGAGCTATGGGAAATATGTGCCAGTGGCTCCTTTTGATAAAACTGTTTGGTGGAACCTTATAAAAGCAGCAAGAGAAGGAACCCAACCATAATTCTCCGCACGGAATTCAACAAACCAAATTCAAAAAACTCTCCAATGAGTCAAGCATTTAATTTCAACAGTATTGTCTTTTATTTTCCTAAGCACAGTTTAATTTAAGGAGGTCCTGTATTACAGCTTTCTTTCAATACAAGCAATCAAAAAATTTACTTTCAAAGCCAATTCAAACTCTCTTTACCAATTTTCTTTGCCAAATTTATTTTAACTGCACAACTGGTGAAAGCATTTACCGTGGGAACTCCAAATCCCACAGCCTAGAAGTTTAGAATCAAGCACGGATATTTAATTCTTTAGCTTAGTGAATGCATTCACATCACTAGGACGCTCGCCAATTCTCCAACTCAAAAGCCGCGTCAGCAAAGGCGAATTCATTGCATCTTTCTCAAAAAGGAACAAACAATCTTTAGTTGGCACGGCTGCTGGGACCACTTTTGTACATTTCTATACTTTCACCTGAGATTTTGAGAGAACATCATTACTTTGAAAAAAAAAACTTGGTTCTGTTGGTTGACAAAAGAAAATGCATACTAGCCTCTCTAGACTCGGATGGAGGACTACAAGAGTTAGGCCCTTGGACAGCCTGCAAAAGAGGAGAGCAAATTCTTCCTCATAAGGAAGAAGAAGAAATCAACTCTCCTTACAATCAAAATCCCAGGGAAGTGCTGCCACTGCACCTCTAATGATCTTCAAAAATAAACGCTTAGGTAAATAAACACCTAATCTGCACTATATGATTTAAAGTATGTTGTACATTAACTTTAGTCTACATTCTGATAGAATGAATGCGATTGCTCGAAGCAACAAAGGACATAATAGTCAAAATGATAAGCTAAATTATTGCAAACCTATGAAAAATATCTTCATGAGAAGGTCACTGAGGAATATGATGTTGTGGAACTCACCTGTCAATCGATCTCCACTAGCAAGTCTTTGCTAAGGAGGAGAATAAAATCTTCATTCAAGCTGTTGCCAAAAGAGACATTGGGGGGCAACTACTCGAAGTCCCTTAAGGAGCACGACAGTGGGTCGTGCTCTTACTGAAGAGAAGGTATTCAACCGGAACCACATCTAGTAGAGAGGGAGCTAGTGCACCCATCCATCCAAAGGCACCACTCTAGGACAAGGTTACCCCACTAAACATGCCTACAATGACTCCTATCATTGTTTTATTCGAGACCACTAGTCAATATAGCACTAAACCCAATTAAGTCTAATTGAGGCTGAGGCATATTCTCATAACTTCCTCAGTTCGTTGACAGACACAGGAGGACGCAAGGAACTAGCAAGGGTTCTGCCTCTTAACATTAGCTCCCTGGAATTATATACAAATGGTATCGCTTTGTTCTCAAGCGACAAACTAATCACTATCTCCTCAGGATTCACCAGGTCCACCATGGATGTTTCTGAGGGATGCTATGCAGGAGCTGGTATGGCTTGGCCTTATGGCAAGCTTGGCCACCGAGAGTTTGTGAAGCCTTATTCAAAAAGCAATCGGACAAAGAGAACCTTACCCCAAGGGTCAAGAATTTCCAGACTATCATCCTTATTATTCTCATGAGAAAGATGGACAATTAACCGTGGTGGAACATGGAGATATAGCTAGATTCCACCATCCCAATATGTGAACTCGCCAACTCCGGAGAATTTTGCTAAAATATAAGTTTGTGAGTTTTTCCTAAAATCTTTGACAGGGTTACAACTTTCACCTGTATTCGGACACTTCCGAAGTGAACTCAGCAAATCATGTATGAAGGATTGGAGCATCTCTTTCATTCCCATCTTTTAGGGCTAGCAGAGTTGGTGTTGCGGGCAGATTATTCACCAAGCTGAACACAGAGAAGTGGAGATACAGCTGACTTAATTTATGTAAGGTTTAAGGAAGCTGTAGGGACATTGTGTAAGCGTAGGTTCTTACCTGGACACAAGTTTTGTTCAAGATGGCTTCAGAGGAGGCTCTGCGACTTCAAGCTGTAGGAAGAAATTTTCTAAGGGTATGGATTTTCCAGAGACATTTCTATGAGCTGGTTCAGCTAAGGTAGTAGAATATTGGAAGAGCTCCTGAAGAGATCACAGATGAAAAAAGAAGACTTCACAGGGAACTTACTATCATGAGACTTCATTAGGAAATAATGTTGCTGACTTGGGAATTCATGTTCCTTTATGTGGGTCAACAACCTTTGGAGCTCCAATAAAGACAGCTCCTCACGAGAAGATTTAGTTTAGAGAACTCAATTCACATTTGATTGTTCTAACGATAGAAGAGAATTTGATTTTCTTTAATGAAAAGAAAAAGTGTTATATCTTTCCCATCTTGGTCATAAGCTACCCGACAAAAGAAGGAATTGAACGGCAAGCAATACTGTAAAGTACCATATGGTTCTGGAAATGTATTAATTACACTTAATAAATGTTGGAGCTTGCAAAGAATGCTCTATCGGATCGTCCTTAATAGGAGGAGTATTGAGGTTCCCTGACAAAAGCAGATCTGTAATTAATTAATGAGGTCCTTTTCCCAGCATCTATCAACGCTGTTGAAGTAGGATTCTGAGGCAGTATCATGAAATCAATTTGAAGAAGCCGCAAGTTCATTCGAAGATACTATGTAGGACACCTTAAAGAGTCACAAACAATAAATCGGTCAGCAAAAAATTCTCAGGTGGCAGCTAGGCCCACTAATAATTAGTGTGTACTGTGCAATTATGCATG